GTATATATATATACATATGTATATATATATTCAAATTGGGTATGTTGGTTAAATACAATAGAACTGAGAAGGAATAATAATAAATGAGTGATTGAAAATATTACATTATAATCTTATTAAGCATTAAATTCTTTAACGAAAGTTTCTTTTTCAGTTGTATATATATATATAATATTTATCATATATATAATATATATATATATAAAACGTTTGGTTATTTATGTAATATAGTTTGCTAGTATCAATGTGTTAATGCATAATTTATGATGACACACCAAAGTATAATTCAGCTACCTGTGATATATCATGAGATGAAAGAAGGGAACGATAAGACCTTGGCCAGGCCAGCCGACTCATAAGATATATTGCTGTTTTTCTATCTCATTAAATTATATTTCGTGTACTTTTTCGCATCTTCCTAAATCCTAAAGCAATTCTGCAAATTGGATGCACTTCCGATTGGTCGTCGTAAGGTGTTATCTTCTTCATTGAGGAGATTGAGAAGACAAGTTTGTGCTGTTGCGTTCAAGTACTTGTTCGCCGAGCTAGATTTCTACATCAATTTCACTTAGTGTCGAATCATGAGCAACCGTTTTGAGTTTTTAAGGATGAATGCTTTTCAATAAAGCAAAATATTCTATAACCAACGATTAGCGTAAATGAGGACTTAAACTAGCCAAACAATTAGGATCTACCAAGTAAAAAGGTGTCCCATTTCCCTAATCCTGGGTTAAACAGCGGGACAAATATAAACCAATTCATTTTGGGTTGCTTTTGAAATTGGTGAATAAGCTATGTGGAATAGTTTTCATTCATTGCCACATTCTCTTTCAACGTGTCGATTTTACTCTTGTGTCCTGTTGAACGCGTGAATTGTATACGTCTGTTCTGTAACTAAATATTAACCTACAGTATAATTCCTGAAAAAGTAAAGCCCTCTGTGAAGTATAGTTTAACGAACTTAGGTAAAAAAATATTTAAAAAAAACTAAGAAACTTAAAATATTTTTTTCTTAAACTAAAGAGATATAACATAGATCGTTACTTATTCAGTCCTAGTTCGCAACAATTCTGAAGCATTCAATACATTTAAAAGAAGAACAATACGAATTATCATATTTTGTGATAGCAGTGGTCATGTGATGTATTGCTTCCATATTATTATTCCTTGTACATTTTATAGTAAGTTCTTTGGGCAGACATACCTCCAACCATGCTCCAACCATATGCTTATGGTGGACAACGATGCCCGGCCTGCGGGTATTTACCATTGACTTGTTATTCGATAATGTCGTGCGCTAATCAAACACTAAAATTAATAAAGGATTTATATTAAGAGAGAAATAGAAAATCATCTCGGCGTGAAAGTTAAAACAAGCGATTGACGGGATATGAGATTAGTAATAGCAACGAGAAATAACATGTGTTACAGGGTAAACTTTACATTTCGGACTCGAATTTCTATTTAGTGTCAATATAGAAGAGCCACATGTCGACACAATTAAATTTATGCCGGCAAGGTAATTCATGTTATTAATAGTATAGATATCATGTTTGGTGAAAAGACATTCATTTGGCGGTATTATAAGTCCGTGTTTGACGAGAGTTAATTACCATCTCTCCTTTGAAAATATTCTGTATTAATTAAATTAAAAAATAAGCGAACTGAGGAACACAGCTTACAATTGATTTTTTTTTTAAGTCGCCGAGTTTACCGAATTTATGAATATGCAGTAACAACATTGGCGGCACTTATGTGTATGAAATCATTCGTGCTTCGAAATAATAATTAGATTCACAATTAGTTAATTCGGTATCAAATTTAAAAATCGTAATCACTTCTACAATGAGCAACAAATCCTTTAAATCGAAGTATTTATTGCATTTAGCCTAGATACACTTGTTTTAGGCCTACATAAATTAATTGTTGACTTCTTTATACCGTGCACAATTAGACTAATGCCGATACGTTACTGTTTAACCATACACTACACTAACAAACATCCAAACTACGGGAAATATCAAATATGCCCACCTTTTTACAATATTGTAACAAAAGACTAAATCAGGTAGTATGTTATGCGTATCACTCCAATAAGGTAATGTAAGCCTACGATTTCATAGATCACTCCGCGTTTGACGAGGGTGATCTGAATGATAACTTATCCGGATAGCTCTACGAAATATTAATTTGAGGCGTAGGTGGATGGACATAAACATATCAGAAATATTAGGTCTATATATTATTATGAATGCGAACATGATCAACCCTTTTAACGCCTTATTGTTAAGGGGTATCAGTGAAGTAGAGGATCAACTATGCCTTAAAATGTCAGTTGGCTCTGTAAATAGGTCTAAAATCGATTTATTCTAATAATACTGCTCATAATAATACTAATGTTATTAATAATGTAAATTATATTGATAATGAAAATAATAATAATAATAATTACAACAACATAGTCATATTTACAATGAGAAACGTGATAGTGAGATATTGATTATATATATATATAGGGCCTATAAATGAAGCTTTGCCAAACCATAAAATGCTGGTTGATCCTTATATAGGTCTATGTTACAAAAATATCCGTAACGCCTGGGCAATCCACATATGCCAGCACGGTTTACACACACTATACTTGACGGAACGAACATCTATTTAGCTGTAGTGATCGATGTCCTATTAGGTTTAGTACATGAATGATAAATATCTGTAGATTTCGATGAGAATGGAGTGATGCAACGACAACTATCTGTCAGTGATTAGGTAATATATGCTGGGGATGGTAAATGATATCATATATATAATAATATATATTTATATATATTATATTACTATAAGCCTATTTGTATTATATTATATTGTGTATATATGATAATTATAATATAGGTAAGCCTACCATCTCAACAGATAGGTGAATATACAGCATAATAACCATGTCGAATTGATTAAATGGGGTAGCACGAATAAGATTTTTTTGCTATTATATCAAATGTTTAATAATTGTTTTCTTTATGGTCATAGGTGAAGCAATACACTTGGCTCGTGATTTTGGCTATGTGTGTGAAACCGAGTTTCCATCTCGACAGATAGGTGAATATACAGCAAGGCAACATACAGACCCATCAGAACAGCAAACTCGAAAGAACATGGTCTTAGCAACAAAGTAAGTTGTCTAACATAAATTAGGCTTATTATAATTATCATGATGATAGCATATCATTATCATGATTGTTATAATCATCATCATGATAATCATAACCACCATCATCACGATCGCTATGATCATCAGTCATCAAAGTTATCAAAATCATCATCATCATTATCATCATCATCATCATCATCATCATCATTATTAACGTTCATAATGTTACCATTTTCTTGACACAAATCTCACTACAAGTAAATTCCATTTTTTCTAATTCCACTGTATTCAATGTATTTAAAGGATGCATCCTTTTAATTTCGTTTCAGACAAGTTCTAAAAGAAGTTCAGGATGTGTTATGTCAAGACCGCTCACCGCTTGGAAACACACGCGCACAGCCTATCCTGGAGCCGTCCATTCAGCGTTGTTTGACGCATTTCAGCATGATCACTCATGGTTTTGGCACACCCGCACTATCTGCGTCTTTTGCCACTTTGCAGAACTGTCTGACAGAAATGCTGAAATACATGGAAAAAGCGTATCCTAGTATCCTATCACCACACGGCGGTGGTAAATTAGACTCAAATTCAAATAAAAGTAATGGTGAAAAAGGAGACGACAGAGTAAAGGAAGTATGAACAAAATGCTATTCCGATTGAAAAAAGAGATTTAAAGAAATGCGATACGAACGCTTTCTTGTGAATTCAGGTAACTGGTTGCAGACAAAGAGGACCAGGTTAGCTAGATATTTCATTTGACATCGTCAGCAAGCATGTTTATAAAGAAGACGGGTCAAAAGTTACGCGTTGCCATAAAAGCTCAATTGAGACAAGTCTGGATCAGAGTTATGTTGGCCATTGTATGCGTTCGTTTGTTTGTGCGTACATACTCTTATCAAGGTGCTTAAAATATAGAAGACAAAACAAAACAAAGAACGTCTATTGCTGGAGGAATCTAGAAGCAAGAGGGTGCATCGCGCTTACATTCTGGGAACATTGTGCGTGTAGGCCTATGTTCAAGAAGCCATTTCCTGGTTTAACGCAAACAAACGTAGTCCAGTAGTTGCATTTATCTTCAAAATCGTTTTTACAGCCCACCTGTACGAATCCGTCTAGAACCCATTTTATAGGGTATTCGTCCACCATATTGTTTGTTAAAACTTTAATAACTCCTATAGATCCGATCCTCCTTTCAAGTTACATCGCATTATAAACATAACGAAATTTAAGAGACAAAGTGGACATTTTGATAAAGTTTTAGTCTTATTGTAGATAATTTTCTTGTTTTTTTTTATTTGAATGAAACATAATGCTATTTGAAATATCTGTTTTGATAAACATAAACGTCGACCAAAAAGTATTGATCGCTGCGAAGGTGCGAACGAGTTTCCGACTCATTAAATCTAAGATTTGTATGTAAATGTAAACTTTAATCACCCACCGACGAATCACCTCTCGCGTTGATAATCAAGTATGATATGAACTCGATTTATCAAATGGAAAAATTTAAAAAGTCACGATGCAATAATTGCTTTGTGGACCGTATATTTTTAATATACACCTTTTCTTTCTTTTGTTCAAATATATTATAATGTAGAAATCTATTTCCAACTTTTACGTAAAGGACAGTTTAATGTTCTGATACTGTGGAGTATCACAGGTACACAATGTTACGTTTGGCGTTAACAATATATAATAATTCGCGTGTATACTTAATAATGTTATAACGTACTTATGTTTTGAATTTCTTAACTTTGTATCAAATGAGGGCGGGCTTGTGATGTTTCTAAAACTGAGTATACAGTAATTGTCAGAATAATACACCTTCTAAGAGGAATTGTTTATAAAGTGACTGCAGTTTTAGTTAAGTAGTAAAAGACAAATTATTACATTTTATCTGCATATTATTCAGAAATCCATCCAAATCAGAAAAGTTTATTGACTCCGTACTTACCTTTTTTAAAAAAAAAAAAAATTACCAAACGTTATAAGCCTACTTACATATTTAGTCTATCTTGAGGTACCAAAATCACCAGGAATATGACAAGAATATAAAGGTCATAGTTTATGCATATCATACCTGTCTATCTATAGAATGTCATTAAAATATTTGCAATAAATAATTATGGGGAGGAGATTTTCATTAACAAGATATGCTTTTTTTGGATTAGTTAGTTAAACTTATATACCAGTAAAATACAATTTTTAAAAAATCGTACGAATATAAGAATAACAAAAAATTACGCAAACCAGCTAATTAAAGAAGAAATAAACAATTATTTTAAATTGAAAATTATCTGCAGCTCAGTATTATTAAATAATTATCCTCCTTATCGTATAGTAAATATTCTTACATTTTGTAGAAGAGGACTCGGTATTTTATTGACTTTAAAATAGATCCAGTTGTGTTGGTATTCAAGTATTGGTACAAGATTGGATATAAATATACGGACTAAATAAAATTTAATGTGGACATTAGGTTTCAGACATAGGGTTTACTTCTTATGAAACTATGAAAACTAAAGGCCTATAACTATATAATTATGAAGTCCTGATCAGTATTGTTAAAAAAAACAAAAAAACAGTGGACCAAATATTAGATTTCCTTTCATTGAAAACTGTTAAGGAAATACACCTAATATATTATTTAGGACCTTATTTCCTTCATAATATCATTGGTATATTTCAACTGCAATGGCTCAGTGTATTGTGAGCATGTCTAAAATCTATTTTCCAACATAAGAGAAACGTAACTTTGTTATTTACGCACGTGTACACGTGAATTTCTTTTCTCACACAATGCACTCGGAATCATGGTACATATGATCATATACTATTATGTGTAGTCTTAATCTCTTTTTGAAAATACACTATTTGCTATTGGAATTAGTGAAAGAATAGAAATCATAGGACTATGGTCATGTTGGATTTGGTATGGAGATGTTTGAGCATATCCGTTGAATTCCTTGTGTTTTCATTTTGAACTCGAATTAATCTCTAGTCGTCATTAAATACATGTATCTGTGTTGTTTTGATTTCTGATTCTGGGAGCATGGATTGGGTTTAGGGGGAGGGGAGTTTTATGCGTACATAGTCACTGGTTTTAATCTGAATATGAACGCACGGGTAAAGTTTACCAATTGCCACTGTCTACGAGGCTTTTACCGCCCTCAAGCGATACAAATAAGTTAGTTCTATATACAATTTCCTACGATTCTTGTCTAAAGCGTATTTAAAGTCGTCTTTATTTTTATGTTTGTAAGCTCTTGTAAAAACCTAGTTTTTAAGTTACTTCATACAGTGCCGATCCCTAAATAGTTGTGAAAAAAGTATTACTTGTTATAACTTGTTACTGTGTGTAGGTTTGTATATGGGTGAAGCGTAGCTGTTTTGTTCAAAATAAAGGATTTAAGTCCAGAAATAAATCTAACAGATGTATCTCCGTTTCATATGTTGTGTTACTTTTAGTAACTGATTAGTAATTTAGCATCAGTCAACATGTTACGTGGTGTTTTTTATTATTAAGATACTGCCACCTAAACCTATTTGAGATCAACAGTATAACTTCGTCATTTACATCAGTTAAAATAATACTATTCCTAATATCTGCGGGTAAATTTATGAACTTTCGTAGTAAACCGTTTGTAAATTATTGAAAACGGATTTTCTTAATAATTTGTGACTTACTATAATTGATAACTTATATTCTTTTGTAAATGAACAAATCAGAATTTTATCCGAAGAAACGGGGTGATAATAAAGACAAATATATCAACATCAACAACAACAACTACTACTACTACTACTCTACCCTACTACCACTACCACTACCACTACCACTACCACTACCACTACCACTACCACTACTACTACTACTACTACTACTACTACTACTACTACTACTACTAATAATAATAATAATAATAACAATAATAATAATAATAATAATAATAATAATAATTTAATAATGATAATAAAATTAAAAATGATAATAATAATAATCATAGATTTTGCAATACCATACGATAGCTGCATCGAGAAGAAAGAAATGAAGAAAGTAATTAATTATCAGGATCTAGCAAGAGAACTGAGAAAAAATATTGAAAATTAAAACAGTGGTCATTCCTGTTGTAATCGGGACATTTGGAACAGTTCCAAAGAAATTAAAGAAAAGACTGAACACATTGGTATAGAGAGCAGAATACATAAGCTTCGATTTTAACAGTTCAATATTGGATTATATACACAATTATATTATACAATGATTTTCCAAAAGATGACGTTTTATTACCCGGTTTATTGTATTTTTAACCCATATGTGGCAATATGTTCTATGATTCGGGCAGTAACAGCACTAATAATTCATTTAAATGCGTAATCAGTACAAACAAAATGTACTCTTGTTATGTGTTTTTTTTTTAGTTTTAACAATGACTTTAACCATTAAATTAAGAAATCTAAAAGCTAAATATACAGAAGGTGACCCATTTTAAATCTTAATATATCTGGTTTATAGTAATTCCATTTTTAGTTTATATATATATATATTTATTTATTAGAATAATATATAGATTATACAATATACAAGATACAAGTCAACTTTATTTTCAATATATAAATTCTAAAATTCTAAAAACGTAAATATAGATACTGAGTGCACCTTTCACTAAAGTGAACACATATTTTAGGAGAATCTAGTGTAGTAGGATATTCATGACTTGTGTGTGTTTCTAATGTTCACTTCCCCTTAAAGAATAATGCTCATAAACATATTTCAAATAATGACTGGTTGGTTTAAAGTTCTGTAAGCAGAATATAAATCCCCGATTAACAATGTCAGAAACGAGTAACACTATGAACAACGACTACGATGTTGCTGCTTTTGTTATAATGACGTTCCCCTTCTTGCACTGGTAGAGTTCAGCTAGCTCGAAGTTAGATGTACCGACAGTACTTGAAATGGTCGCGAGATGGCGCCCATCACGCTTCTCCATAATCTTGGGTAGATCTTTTTCATTCAGCCTCAACCGAGGTACATATTAATATTACTGAGTTTCCAATCTACTACTTTGCAACCAATCTAAAAACCTGTATATTCCATACATTGTATAACTATTATCCTTTAGAAAATGCCACAGACTTATAACAGGGTGAAGACTATAAGTTCTCTCAGTGTTGAATACATTGACAGGGGAGGAATTGGTGAGATTAAAGCTCGGTTTCTATACACCATATTGACAGTGGCGGCTCTACGTGGGAAGGGGAAGGAGGGGATTTCCCCAGACAAATTTCTTTACCCCCATTTCCACCCCCCTACAAAAAAGAAGAAAAAACACAATTCGCAAGGGAGAAAAAAACAACTATATGTATTTTTTACATATTAGTAGACATTCCATCTATAAAATCGATTAGATAAGCCCCTGAAACACCTAAATTGTCATATTTTTCGGGGGCCCAGCCCCTTGGACCACATTTTAATTGATGGCCGACCACGCCCACTTTGCTTGTCCCTCACTCGCCCCACCCCCCAGATTTCAGACGCTGGCGCCGCCACTGCCTATCAGCGACAGTGGCCGAGTTGTGACTCTCGATAGCGATTCCATAGAAACGCTTGTCTGCCTACCTATACTAGTAGTATTGTACTACCTACCGGCCTACCGCCAGTCGGCCTACTTGAAACGTTGTTCAAACACTGTTGTAACGTTCAATGAATTTCTCTACACTAGAATTCCTAGTCTTTGTTCTAATATTCTTTAATACTTTTTAAAATCTACTGTTGATGCTGCATTCTAAATTAAAAGTTCTTTTTAATCAATTATTTTTTTTTATTCAAATGTAAACAACTAAGGCAAACGTACATTAAAAACTAAAAACAAAATGACAAACATAACTGCAGCCCAACGCAACCATTTACATGGCAATGAAAATGAACATAACATACTAAAACACGAAAATGTTAAACCTTTCAACAACAAAATATTTGAAGATGTTAACAGAAGAGCACTTGGCATACTTCAATAGACAGTAAACTCAAAACATTAAATAAAAAGGTTTTTTTTTATAAGTACATGTTCTTTTGTATATATGAACATACGTTGGTAAAGCATACTTTTAAAGTAATTTCTTTCCGATTAGAACCTAATATTGCCAATTCAATTTTACTATCCATGTAAGTTTTAATAAAAATTTAAACATTTCTTTACCTAAAATCACTGTTCATTCCAATAGGGTGCACTCATGTTTTTAAATAAGTTCTCAACATTATGTACACAAAAACTATTTGAGATTTTTCCAACGAGGCATATGTGGTCATTGATAATATTTTAGAATCATCATTTCTAATCACATTGCACAATGTATACTTTCAATAAAAACTTTGGAAATAGATAATAATTATACCCTGCTGCCTCTTCATTGACCCCTTGTTCTTCCCTTACCCCGCTTGTTTCAGTTTGTACATCTATCATTTTCCTATACACTCTTTCATTTCATTCCATACCTGAAAGTGAACTTAAACAATATCATATATTATAGTAAACTACTTAAGGTACAAACATGAACAATTATCAACATTATAGTAAACTACTTAAGATACTAACATGAACATTAGGGCAAATATGATACAAGACTTTTGAAAAAGAAAATGAAATCGGAAATGCATACCAATTTTAGCTCATATAATCTATTCCAAACATAAGTTTTTGATAATATTATATGAAACCATCAACCTTGCGTAAGTTGGGATGCACTACTGCAAAAGTAATTTGAAATTTGATACATCACACAAAAAAGGGCCAGTATCATTAAATGGAAATATACTGTACATTTAACAATATTATTTCCAAAACTGGTTATCTCCCTGAAGTCCTTAAATAAGGTACATTTAGATAAAGAGTAATGACAGAATCATCAATATCTTCAATTTATATTTACAACATATCTATATTTGTATCTATCAAATTTCTTTAAATTTTAGTTTGGTCGGAGAATAATTGTGTTAAATTTCATAGCAACTCAAGTTAAAAACAGGTAGTTCTCGCTATTTCATTGTTTATGCATTGCCTTCTACAGATGTAGAAGACACAGTAAATGTTCGTAAGAAAAGCTGATGACGTCAACATCTAAAATCGGCCGATGGTTGGTCAATAGTTACGATTCGTTGCCGACAAGTCGGGAAGAATGAACTTGGTTCAACTTTGCAGATTTTGTTGCAGACGAATCGGGGTGCCTTCTCGATTGCGTCGGGGTAGCCATGCTGTGTAGCGATTGCTGCAGCGACAGTGTAGCGTTTGTAAGGAAACCGAGCTTAAGCTATATAGTCGCCGTCCAATTCAGTCAAAATATCATAGCAATACATAGCAGCAACGTACTATCTGAAATGAAGATTTTACTGCAGGTCTGTTTGGACTTGATGAATGGAAATTCTCTTCACAAAAAATACAGCAATACTGCCACCTATATTTACAGAACTTTTTTTTTTCTCTCAGTAGAATGAGATTTTACAGTATGTGGTATTTTCATGAAACTCACACGGTAACATATATTATAATTAAGGTGCATTCACTTGTATTTCTAATAACGTCAAGATCATCTACGTGAATTTGCATATGTTTTAAGCATATCCCTATCAATTATTATTTATTTATTATGAATTTATTCCACTGAAAGACAAAGCGAGCCTTTGATGTGTAACTTAGAACCTTCCCCGATGAAGAATTGAATAACCTTCAACTCTTTTAAAATTATAAGATAAGTTAATAACTTCCAATGGAACAGACGTAACTTTATAAGTTTTTGCAAAATTACAGACAATTTACTAAAAAAAGGTTGTCATTATCACACAACGTATGAGACCATGCAGACAAGGAAAGGTATTATTTTGAGTACTATTTTGTGAGGGAACTATTTCGTCGTTCTATTTACAAAGTAAGCGATTCTTTGAATCTTTAAATTTATTACCCAAGAGGGGTAATGTTCCTGATTCTTGTTCTGAAAACCCTGGTTCAAATCCGGCCACCGTCGGATTTTAATAGGAGTCGATCGCTCGGATCTACGAATAACCCCCGCATATAATAGCCGCCGTGGGAGTTCTCCAGGGGGTTCAATCGCAATAATTAATAATCAATCGCAATAATCGCAATTAAGTTTGGCGTAATGATAAAAATGAAATTTTAAAAAAATAGAAAAAAATATAAATCTTTATTAAAATAGTATTGAACGAAAAACATGTTCGAAAATACGTGTTAGTGCAGATGAGTATCATATTTCTGCTGTATGATAAAGACGAGAGAAGTCAATTGTGCCAACTATATTTAAAGATTAAAACAGAAGTAATAGGCCTATGTCCAATATTATAAAATAAATCACGAGACTTGACCTGTTATGCTTTTGACCACTGACCACTGATATTGTAAGCTATTACAAGCCCATAATACATC